CTCTCTCTCTCCCTCTCTCCCTCTCTCTCTCTCTCTCTGTCTGTCCCTTTCTGTGTCACTCTATCTCTCTCACAATCTCTCTCTCTCTCTTTCTCTCTCTTTGTCTCTCTCTCTCATCTTTTCTTCAAATCTTTGACCACTATTTTTTACTACAAACTTTGACTACTATCTTTGACCACAATCTTTGAGCACAATCTTTGGCTACAATCTTTGACCACAATCTTTCCCCACAATTTTTTACCACAATCTTTGACCACAGTCTTTTACAACTATCTTTGACCACAATCCTCGAACACAATCTTGGCTACAATCTTTGTTCACAATCTTTCCCCCACAATCTTGGCCCCAGCGCATGCAGAAGGAGCTGTCGGACAAGGAGATGGCCTTGACCCATAAAGAGAAACAGCTGGCGGCGGAGAGAGAGAGCGTGGCACAGCGCCGGCTACAGCAGCAGGGAGACGCAGGGGTCAGGGGTCGGGACGGGACAGCAATGGCTGCCGGGGTCAAAGGTCGGTGATGTTTTTGGATGGCTTAGGCGGCTACTTGTGATGATCTGATTCAGGTCTGCTGTACGGGTGGTTGGTGGGTGCTCTGGTGTGGTTTCTTCCTCATCATCATCATCAATGCCTTTCACCCCTGGCAGGGTATAGGCCACATACAAGCTCCTTCCATTTATCTCTGTCCTGAGCCATCCTTCCAAGCTTTTTCCAAGTGAGCTTCATCTCTCTCATGTCCCTTTCCACGCATCTCCTCCATGTTTCCCGTGACCTACCCCTGCCTCGTGTTCCCTGTGGGTTCCACTGCAGCGACTGTCTTGTGATGTTTCCGCTGGGCTTTCTGAAGGTGTGTCCCATCCATCGCCACTTTCTTAGTCCTATTTCTACTTCTTCTATATCCTTTTGTCCTGTCTTTTCCCGCAGTTCTTCATTTCTTATTCTATCCTGCCACTTACAACCAACTCTGGTGTGGTTTGCTTCTTTTTTTTCTTCTTTTTTTTGTCTATCATTTTTCGATCTTATATTTCCTCCTCCTTTTTTTTTTTTGGTATGATACTCTTTAGTGTGTGTGGTTGGTGGGTGCTCTGGTGTGGTTTGCTTCTTCTTTCCTACCAAATATCTCTCATTTTTATCTCTCCTCCTTTTTTTCTTTCTTTTTGTATGTTACTCTCTAGCGCGGGTGGTTGGCGGGTGTTCTGGTGTGGTTTGCTCCTTCACAACTGTCTGAATCTATCGTCCTGATCTCTCGTCCTTGTTTTGTTGTTCGTTACTCTCTCTTTTGAATTTTTTGTGTGTATCCCTCCTCTCCCC